ATGGATGTAAAGATCCAGAGAAATGGGAACTGTTGGATTGGTCGAAACGTTACAAGATCATAGGAGGAATAGCACGTGGATTGGTTTACCTTCATGAAGATTCTCGTCTACGAATTATACATCCCGATCTCAAAGCTAGCAATATATTATTAGATGGAGATATGAACCCCAAAATATCAGATTTTGGCATGGCGAGAATATTTATCGTTGATCAATCTCAAGCAAATACAAGTAGGATTGTTGGGACATAGTAAGTTCTGCAATATATCTGTTCTACATATGTTTAATTCATGTGGTCCTTGAGTATAAATTTCCCGAGTTAGGCAATAAGTGGAATTTTTATAATCAAAGACTTTCATAGATGTTCTTGAGTTTATTACCTCTAAGACATATCTATGGATTTTTTGGCTTGTAGTGGTTACATGTCTCCGGAGTATGCAATGCACGGCCACTTTTCTGTTAAGTCAGATGTTTTTAGTTTCGGCGTCTTGGTTTTGGAAATCATAAGTGGCAAAAAGAATAGTAGCTTCTACGAATCAGATGGTGCCGAGGATCTCATAAGTTATGTAAGTGCGAACTTCACATTACTCTTGAGGACATTTTTATTAACACAATTTACAATTACATACTAAATATACGTGTTAGCTAGATCAAATAAAGTCTAATTATACTATTCATCCATTCACATTGGATAGTCCATGCGTTATACTTGGCATATATTCTTACCATATATATGGAGTTAAAAATGATGTTTTTGAGATAAAAAGAAAAAAAATCTGTGGATACAAGTGAAGTAACTTGTGACAGAACGACCAAAATTTGCGTTTTGCTTTGCTCTTATTTATTATTATACTATAGTAACTAGGATTATAGCTTAAAAAAATTGGACTGGCTATTGTTGTGCAGGCTTGGAAGCTTTGGAGAGACAACAAACCTTTGGAATTGATAGATCCGACACTGCAAAACTCAAATGCTAGGAATGAAGTAATTCGATGCATCCAAATTGGCTTGCTGTGTGTTCAAGAAGATGTTAATGAACGACCAAACATGACTTCAATACTTGTGATGCTCAACAGTTATTCGGCTACTCTTCCTGTCCCTGGCCAACCTGCATTTTTTATCCATAGTAGAAAACATAACAAGCCCCAAGTGCAAGATTCAGACAAATCCACGTCAACGTCAATAACCTTCTCTAAAAATGAAATATCAATTACTGATTTATATCCAAGATAGAATGTTCTCATCAAAAGCACAAGAAATAAATAAGACTGTGTTGTAAAATTTTTGTTAGTGGATTAGTTAATTATGATTTTCCCACTTTGTTTATCCTTTAGGATTACCTTTGCTCCCATGGATCAGAAAATCCCTCGTTGTAGTCATGTTTGTTATATAATATTGAATAGAATGATAAATTAAATTTTAATTCATGTTTTTCCTTCATTACGATATTTCAGATATCCCATTTAGTAGCAATCGCATCGATATCGTACATGAACACAATGGATGGGGCTGTCCAGTGGGTTTGAGAAAATAACTCTGATATTTTCCTCTGATGTGCCCGAAATATTCAACAAATAAAGCATCTCAGCAAGCTTTAAAACTGTGTAAATAAGGGCACGAACAAAACCAAGTTCATAATTGAAACCTCACATTAAATAGACAAAAAGGGAAATTAGTCCAATTGTTACACTAACAGCAAATAGGAAGACAAAAAATAAATAAAATAAATAAATAAATCTGAACGCATAGTTCTATGTCTATCGTGTCATCACTACAAGTCACAAATACCTAAAAGATTTATGATTAAAAATTAAAAAAAGCCATATGGCCAGGGTTGGGGACACACCCACCTACTCCGTTTCTTTTTCTTTTAAATTTAAATTTATAGTTAATATAGCATTCATGTTATTTTTGTTTCTTAATTTTATTCATTTAAACATCTTATCGTTTGTTTATTTTTATAAAAAATTTATTTGTAATTGCTTAACTTCGTAATTTTCGTTAGAAATAACAATATAATCAAACTCAAATCTATATCTAGCATGTAAAAATTTGAATATTACAGATTTATTTTGTAAATTTGCATGATTTGTTATAAAATATAAAATCAAACTGCATTCATATTTCTCTGCATTACTTGCTCTCTCCAATCGTTATATTTGATTGGAATTGAATTGAACCAAAGAAGTATCTTCAAATCAATTAGCTAAAATATAATTATCATTGTGGTATTTTTTAAGTTTATATATTTATTCCTTAAACTCATTTCTGGCTAGTGAAAGATTGTCATAATTTATTTCTACTACTGAAAGCATATAAAATCTTTATAAAAACATATATATGTATACATATATACAGATATATGTACATATACATATATGTATATGTACGTACATACATATATATATATGTACGTACATACATATATATATATGTACGTATGTACATATATATATATGTACGTATGTATATGTATATACATATGTATATATATATATATATATATATATTTGACAAATAATCGTGACTAATTTAAATTAATCCAACGCTCAATGTGTATTTGACTAAAATCACGAGAGAGTTTGTTATAACCACTTGATGTTATATATGTGTGTGTGAGAAAGATAAAAATTTTAGCAGATTTTGATCTTATTTTAAGAAAAATACACCACCAATCTTCAACTTTTTCTAGCATAGAGCTAATTCAAGGACTTCCGTGGTTTTAAATTGAAAGTCTATCCCAGCCTTCTTAAGAATAAAAAAACCGGAGAAATAAATAATTCTTTTTACTATGTTAAGTTTTATGTAAAATTTAATTTCTTACCTTCTAAAGTCCAAAATTAATTATTGATTCTCAAATTTACCTAATAAACTGTTTTCAAATGACAATATAGCTACCACATTCAATTGTGGTGCACTTCATCTCATAAGTACACAGTTTGAATCAATAAAGAAATATTTCTTCTTATTTCATTTCAATTATTTAGTGTGATTATGTTTATAATATACGCTCTTCGAATAGAATTTATTATTTAAAGATCTTGACTTTCACAATTCGATAGGTTTTCAAAATCCTTTCAATAGCTTTTGTAGAAGGTCCACAAGCCGATTGTTTGTAAATTTGCATTATTTTGTTATACAATATTAAAACAAAGTCTATTACTATTGAAGTAAACACTTCTATTCATGTTTGTTCATGGAAATATATAAAATTTTTAATCTAGACTTATTAGTTTTTTTCAATACAAAAATTGATTTTATACTCTCCAGTCTCCTTATTGTAGAGGTAATGGTTGTCATTTGTAATTAATATCTACTTTTATTGTTTTTCACTTAAATTATGTTTAATTAAATATTAAGAAAACACCCGCCCAGTCTTCCATAGTTTCCTCCAACCCTAGATGGATTTTTCTTTCTTTTTTATTTTTTTGTTCGCTGTTTTTTCTTGTTTGTAGAGAAGGATAGCATCGACATTTTCATAATTTTTGAATTTTTAATTGGGTAATTTTATTGACCATAACGAAGATCCTACTTTCACAATTACATCCTCAATTTTTTTTGTCGTATTTTTATTTTCAACCTTCAACTAATAACACATCTTGTCCATGATAATAGTAAAAACCTCACCGGGAGGAGTAAACATACTTATTTTATTCATTGTATTTTTATATTAAAAAGATAAACAACAAATACAAAAGTTCAACAAAATATTTTTCACATGCTAACAAAATATATGAACATAAACCATCAAGATATACTAATTAATTGAGAGTTATATTAGAATACAAAAAAAAAAAAAAAGGAAAAAAAGCTAGGGGTATAACTAATGTTCTGAAAACCGAATTGGACCAGTCGGTTCTCGATTTTTCTGAGAACTGGCCACAAATCCGGTCCGATACTAATTAATTAGCCAAAAATGGAAAAATCGGTACATAATCGGTCGAACCGGCCATTTTAGCCAAGAACCGGAAAATCAATCAAGATTGTTACCAGTTTTTAGTAGGCTAAGTCGATATACAAGTAATCCAAGCACTAATCATTGGAAAGCTATTGTTAGAGTTTTAGGGTATTTAAAACATACCCAAAATTTTGGATTGCACTATTCGAGATATGCAGCAGTACTTAAAGGATACTGTGATGCAAATTGGATATTAGATACTAAAGACTCCAAATCAACAAGTGGATATGTCTTTACACTTGGAAGTGCTGCAATATCATGAAAATCTTCAAAACAAACATGTATAGCTAGATCAACAATGGAATCTGAATTCATTGCATTAGAAAAGTCGGAGAAGAAGCCGAATGGCTACGAAACTTTCTAGAAGATATTCCATGTTAGATAAAACATGTGCCCGCTATATGTATCCATTGCGATAGTCAATCAGCAATTGGTAGGGCACAAAATGTAATGTACAACGGTAAATCTCGACATATACGTCGTAGACACAATACTGTTAGACAATTGCTCTCTACAGGCATTATCTCTATAGAGTATGTGAAATCAAAAGAGAATATTGCGGATCCGCTAACTAAATGTTTAACAAGAGAGCAAGTCGAAAGGTCATCGAAGGGGATGTGATTAAAACTAATAAAATAATCAAAAGTTTCCATGGTGGCAACCCAACCTAGTTGACTGGAGATCCCAAGATCTAGGTTCAATGGGACAACCGAACTGTGAAAAACTTAGTATGCACTGGGAAGATTGTACTTTTACCCATTCCTATGATGAGCCAGTGCCCAGCTGCCGCGAAATAGGTTAAGATACGCTTTTAATGATTTCTATATCTTGATTCGTTCAAGTGGAGTATAGCAGAATACTCTTTATGAACAAGGGGATGTCCAAGGCCAAAATGGACACAAACGTAAGAACCAACTATGTTCGAAGAAAACTGTGTGACTTCTATTGTCTAGGTTTCCTTAAACGGCTGACTGTTCAAAGCAACTTGCTACTGATTGGCTAAGGAATTCCGATAGATTTTACTAGGGAAAGTTCAAAGTCATTGACTACTTATCCCGATGCAGTCTTCTTCAATTTTTTCTTTGAAAAACATATCAGATGCTATCGTTTGGAATAAGGCCAACACATTTCATTCATGTGGGGGATTGTTGAAAAAATGGTTAATGGGTCAACTTTGAGCCCAAATTTCAGTGGGACCCACCTTTTAATTAATACGGGACCTAGCACATTCACGTTCTACTCCGCGAGATGATTAACGTGATATATTTATTTATCGAAGACCATTTAAAATTGAATGAAATATTAAGTGTTAAAGTAACCCACATAAACTAAGGATTATGGAAGAATTTGATTTTCCAAACACTTATCCCACATAGGAAAGTAAGGAAACTTTGGTGTGGTTTATAAGGTGGAAGTTTGGAATTGGGTTTGGGCCCCAAGGGGTACCAATAGTCTTTGGAAGGGGGAAGACCTATATCCTATTGGGTTCGGTCATAAACCCACACGCGCGAGCCGCCGTCGCCGTCCGTCAGACCGGCCGGCCAGCTCGGCTCGGCATGGCACGAGCACGTGCCCTGTCCAAGTCCGAGTCCGAGTCCGAGTCAGTCCGGTTCGGTGCGGGTGTGGGTGAACCTTTACACTATATTAACTTTTTGGACAAAATTTATTTAAAGTTTTGGGCCAAATTGTAAATAATCAAATTCTTGGGTACAATATGAAATTTAAATTTTGGCTTATTCCGGGTGTTTTATTTTCTTTTAACAATCGACTGTTTCGACTGTTTACCGACCAAACAGTCGACTGTTAGCCGACTGTTAACCGACTTAACAGACACGACTTTTAAGAACAGCATGTCTGTTCGAATTTTTGAAGTTTGTCTGAAAGGTGATGACTGTTCGAATGACCACGAACAAGTCTATAAATAGCCAGCCTTTCTACCAAAAAATTCACACCATTTTCATTGCAAACTTTCTGTGTTTTGAATCTCATTTCCCTCTCTCTCGTTCTGATATTGTCTCGAAATAAAACACACTTCATTGAGTTCGTTGGAACTCCTGCAGATTGCAGTGCTGCTTCCGTAGGAGATGAAAATTCGTTCTATCCTGAGAAATGATTGCTGGACGCCTTTAGCACCATTGAAGGCAGCAAATTCGTTTTAAGGAAACATCGTGAAATCGGTGGGCTCGAATTACTGTTTAGATCCCGTTGATCAAATTCTTACATTCAGGTGATTCTGTCGGATTGTTTTCGAAGGAGTAACTTCAAACTCCAGAAACAACAATCTCAAAACGAATTTTGTTCTATTATTATTTTGTTTCTGTTTCTACTCCTTCTTATCGTTGATCTTCTGATTGTGTTTCAGAAATGGCAACTTCTGGTATCACACTCCCGAATATGACCGGGGAAAAACCAGAAAAGTTTAATGGGTCAGATTTCAAGCGTTGGCAACAAAAAATGTTTTTTTATCTGACGACATTAAATC